CAATTCCCTCTCAGCTTAGGGCTTTTTTAAGATTCACTTCAGTTCTCAAAAATGAAATGTTGAACATGGGTCAATACTCATTAAAACCTTAAAGTAATCAAAAAGTAATCAAAAGTAATTAGTTACATTACTTTTTAAAAGTAATCGAAAAAGTTACACTACAAATACATTTTAAACAAGGTAACTTGTAACTGTAACGGATTACATTTTTAAAGTAACTTCCCCAACAATGGTCCCGTTACACTAAGTTTGATAAAATGCGTTTTTATGCCCATATTAACGCGTAAAGTGGATAAGACGCCTGTGACTTCCAAAACATAACATTGATATAAGATGGATTTTCACAAAATGTAACCTAAAGGAAATCAGCGAGTTCTAAGTGGCTTCCTGGAAGTAGAGAAAGTAACCGGTCCCATGCAGGGAATTATGAAACCCTATAAGATCCGTTATATAACCTTTAGCTGATTTTAAAAAAAGAATCTTCTCAGTTCCTCTCTGCATTTAGAAAGAGGTTGGTAGAAAAGCCAAACGTTCTCTTAAGAGTAAAAAAATATTGGGTAAAAAGGCCACTGAAGTACTGAGCAATTCATCATCCAATTTATGTGCAAATTCTTGTAAAATGATTATAAACGTAACTGGAAAACAATAAAACCCAGAAGAAGGCAACTTTAAAAGGTTAAAAAAGGTCGTCTCTTCTGAAAAAAGCTGGAGAAAAGTACCTGAAACGTACCTGCGAGTTCCATAGAGCAGAAACCTACGGATCTATTACATTAAGAAAAGTATACACTGCAAACAATGTCAATCTCAATAAGTCATTTTTTCTTAAAGTGCTTTTTCTCTTGAATTGAGGAGGTAAATGCCAATCAAACAAGACAATTTACATTCAAAATAAGAAAAAACAACTGCATTCTCTTATTTCAAGTGCATATTATCTAATTATCTTATTTTAAGAGTAAAAATGTTCATTCCATTGGCAAATTATCTCATTTACCTACTCAAATTACGGCTAAATACACTTAATTTCAGACATTTTTGCTTATTTCTTGATTGTTTTTGTGGTGTATAAATTATCATTTAATTCACTCTGTACTTTCTGTTAAACAGGAATTATTCTCTTTTTTTCACATGTGAAGGGGCTTAAAACCCATCTTTATAAGGTGTATGGGTCGCCTTTTACAGTTTTCTGTCTGCTTCTGTCTCCTTGAACCCCAGTCGGCCGCTCACACTGAGCCTGGTTCTGCTGACTCAGTTAAAAGGGAGTTTTTCCTCTCCACTGTCGCTACAAGCATGCTTAGTGTGAGGGATTCCCCTGTGAATTGGCGCTATAGAAATAAACTGAATTGAATTTAATATAAATTCCTAATAGTAACCATTTGTGCAAAATTTTCGTTATGCTAAATTTAAACCAGCTAATTTCAGGAATTAAAAAAAAATCCATTAAGGTATTTTTTTCCCCAGACTGAAAAGTTGTAGGAATTAATTTCCTCCACCTTTGATGATTTATCTACATATCTAATAAAGCTTTATTTGTACAGCTGTATAGTATATAGCATCAATGCATTTAATTAACTGTGAAGAGCCACTGTGAGGTAACCTAAGTTTCACATGTTGATTTTTCTGCAGCTGCAGGAAAACAATTGAAATAATTTTCCTGCTTATTAGACGAACAAACAGAAGCATGCATGTGATGCGTTTGACCATGAAGGTCTGGTTTTTGCCTTTTGTGTTGCTGCGTCTGAAAGCAGCTTCACGGTTTATAAAGGTTTACCCAGATTGGATGGAAGGCTGAGAGCCATGGCTGCTCTGTGGATTCCCGCCTTGGTGATGTTTGCTGGTAAGTCTCTAAAAAATATATCTTTATTCCAACTGAGAACCTCAAGTTTCTGCTCAGATTAATAATCTCTTAACTCCTTTCCAGCAGGTGTTTGCAGCAGTCTGTCATCAGATTGCACATATTATGGTCTGCTGGAACACTTGAACCTGACGACATCAAATGCGGCTCTAGAAATAATGCGGCCAGTGAAAAACTGGAGAAACACCACCGTGGTTTCCCTGGACATGGTGCTGTACGGCATTTTAGGGATTGTAAGCGTCCAACTCTTTCAGTGTTATCTTTTCTTTCTGGTTTATTTGAATTTTTCTTTGTTTTTTT